TTTACCAACGAATAGTGGGATTGACCGTCACATTATAACGCTCCCACGGCTGAAAGGGCGAGCATGTTTGGTGTGACGGGGATTCGAACCCGCGACCCTCAGGTTGCGAGGCGAGGACCCTAACCACCTGGCCATGCCGGGCTCAAACAATAGACTAAGCACGTATAACTGAGATTCAACCGGCAATATAATAAAATGTTTTATGAATGTTTAATTCAAAAGCTTACCAGCTTTTATTATCTGTATATACAATAAGAATTACGTAAATAAAAACTCTTTTTAATATAATTATCTAGCATTTTGTTTACAATTTGGTTCTAGCAACAAATATCATATTCCCATTTCCCATGACACTTGTCAGCCAGTGAAAAATCTAAGAACCACATTCTTAATGTCTATGCCACTTTCAGATAATAACATGCCAAGAACCACATTTTCTTCTATGACACTTGTCAGCCAGTGAAAAATCTAAGAACCACATTCTTAATGTCTATGCCACTTGTCAGCTAATAAAATGCCAAGAACCACATTTTTTCTATGCCACTTGTCAGTCATTAACAAGCTAAGAGCCACATTCTTAATTCTTATGCCACTTGACAATCAATATATTACTAAACACAATACTATTATTTCCTATGCTATTAGTCGATCCGTAAATTGCTAAACACAACATATGGTATTTTAACTTGAAGAAACATTGTACGCACAAACATTGAAAATTTTAAATTTTTTTGCTAATATTATGAAGCATATTTGAACAAATCCTGGTCTAAACATGAATGATTCAATTTTAAGAATATATGCTGAACTCTGATTAATTACAAATTAAACTTAGTTACTGAGGGTGTCCTAACTAACCGTACGTGTTGGCTCTAAGATTTTAATTGCCATTGTTAAAGGATGAGACAATATAATAAGAAACTCTTGAGAGATACAAACTATGATTCAGATCCAAAACTCTTTAAAATCTCACTTGAAACTTTTTACTCTGGAATAATACAATAGAAAGAGGGACAAAAAACACTATAAAAGTAACTACTTATTTAATAAAATAGATGAAAATGAATCACAACCCCGTCGCCAGCCCTTCAAAAAAGGAACAGATACCTACTCGATATAAAACTTTCGATCAAACAGATATGACTTGATTGATACATTCTACTGACATTGATTTCATCGGTTGTTCACTACGGTAAGTTAGTAATCTTTCTTCATTAGTATAAAATAATTTTAAAACATTATTCAAGAGGTTTTCAATGTTAATAGTTTTAGGTTTGGTTAAATATATTATAACCATTGAAAGTTTTGAAACAATCTGAGTTAGGTATTGCGTGGTATAATTATTGGAGTAAATATAAGAGCCGTAGCCAGAATTTCGGTTTGAGGGGATATTTCTAGAAAAATACCCCCCGCCCTAAAAATTCCACTCGGAGCATTCCGTTTGGTTTATATTTAACATTTGGGGTATTTTTCGGGAAAAATTAGTTCTCATTTTTAACAATTTCGATGGGGAAGTCTCATTACAAAAATACAAAATTTTATCTCAATATACATACAATGTACATGCAAATTGTGTTTACTCTAAGCTAGCATAAGAAACATGTAAATACGATAACAAAGTAACAGAAAATAAATTTTTTGTCGGGTCGGAAGAAATTAAGGGGGGTTATCCCCCCTTGTATATGAACCTGATTTTCATGGTAGCTAGTGTTACTTTTTTGATTCAGACCAGAGGTTAGTAAAGTTCTATAGAATTAATATTTGTTTTTGTAAGTGCTTTATTTATACTATTGCTGTTTCTATGGGTTTAACTTTTCTTTGGACATTTATGAGGTTTATAGTGGTTTACTGTTTTCTAATGTTGGGCGGACTCTTTTTGAATTTTTCAGTAAGAAGAAGATTAATGCAAAGTTCTTTACACTAAATTATAACAAATGCGTTTTATTTATTCGACTAAAGTTCTACAAGTTAGTTTAATTTACGTTTCTGATAGGCCTAATTTCACTGTCGATAAAACAACATCATTTACTTGCTAATTCTTTTTTGTTCGTTCAGCAATTTTTCATATGTTTAGTCTTCATCGCTAACATAAACTCAAAATTTACAGTAACTGTTTCATAGTAACTTAATAACTGACTCGCCGGCTAACGTATTCATTTTCTGAATAATTCACAGACTTCAATGATTAAACTCATTGAATGACTCGGTAACCAATAACCCA